TCCTCCTCCTCCTCCTTCTCCTCCTCGTCCTCCTCCTCCGCATTCTCCGCCTCGGCATTTTTGGGCTCTCGTCTTGAACTCGAGCGCCGTGGTCGCGCCCTCCTCCTCCTCCTGCTCCTCCTGCTCCTCCTCCTCCTCCTCCTCCTCCTCCTCCTCCTCCTCCTCCTCCTCCTCCTCCTCCTCCTCCTCCCCCTCCTCCTGCCTTCCCTGGCAGCGGGAGCTCGCGCCGCAGGCCAGGGGGCCTGCGGCGCACGGGGGGCCTGCGGCGGGGCAGGGCCGGATCCTGGGCCTGCCCGTCGGCAAGAGCATCATCGTCTACGCGCCGAACCCCGACGAGTGCGTCAGGACGGGCTCCGGCGGGCGGGGGGCCTCCCGTTCTCGTCCTCCGCCTGGGAGGCGGAGGAGGAGGAGGAGGAGGAGGAGGAGGAGGAGGAGGAGGAGGAGGAGGAGGAGGAGGAGGAGGGAGGAGGAGGGGGAGGAGGAGGAGGAGGAGAAGGAGGAGGACGAGGAGGAGGAGGAGGAGGAGGAGGACGACGAGGAGGAGGGGGGATGGAGGAGGACAAGAAGGGAGGGCCTGGGATGCCTTCGTCGCCACCGCTGGATTCGCCCTGCCTGAGATTCTGGTCAGAACGCACCCCGGTAGATGACTGGGGAGTAGCGGGTATGGGTACGCAGTTGGGTTTCCCCAGCTTCTTGGTCTCATGGCAGCCTCGCGCAGAGGGGGCCAGGGGGTGCTTGGTGTCGCTCGGGCGTGTCATCTTTCCTCGGCGAGGACCGTCGACCCAGACCCCCTCGGGTCATGACAAAGTCACGACGGGGAGTTGTTCATGATATCCTCTCCCTCTGGGAGCCGTCGCCAGGCTTCAGGGCCGTCGAGCAAAGGGCTCGGGATGAGAAGCTGGTCCTGGGGAGCGGGTCTGGACCTCTGGGGGTCAACGCCATGAAAAAATCATGGCGGCGGGGGTCTGGAAAAGGAGCATCCTGGGTCATCCTGCGAAAAAGGAGCGCACGAAACCGGGGCCCGAACGATGGCGAGAGGGGGGGGGGGGGGGGGCAGCTCGAAGGCAGCACGTCACGCTCAGCGGGGCCAGGAGGAGGGGGGAAGGCTTCTCAGAAACACCCCTGCTTCTCCGAAGGCGCGGGTCTCATCCATCGATGCAGGACCGGCGCCTTCTAAGAAGCAGCCTCCTTCTAGGAAGGCCTTCACCTTCCCCCTGCCTTCGGGTGCAACTCCTCGGAGGTCAAAGTATGACTTTGCCCTGGCCGAAATCCAGCTGAATCCGCCTTGGTCCCGCTTAATCTGGCTTGATCCAGGTCGTCACTCTGGCTCAATCCCGCTTTGCCCGCGGCTTTCTCCGGCGCAGTTAGAACGCGCCGGAGAAAGCCGCGGGCAGTTACTGCGCCGGATACAGCCGCAGTAAACCCCATCTGGGGGCTACACCTTGGGCGATGCTTCAGAAAACTCAAGTTTTCGGCCAGAGTCTTGATTTTTCTTAACGTTTCAATGTGAATCCTAAGATTTCAATGGGAATGTTGGGTTTTTCTCCAAGTTCTGAGACGATGAATTTCTTAACCCATGATTTCTTAAGCATTTCGCGTGGTGTACTACCCCCCCGATGGGGTTTTATGTTCCTTCATCCTTCCGACGACCGCCTTCCAGCAGTTGCTCCCTGACCTGCCCCTCCCTTCTGCGCGCCTCCAAAAAGGATGGGTCCGGGCGGGCGGCCAAGAGGGGGGCGGGGGGGCACCTCGAGGGCTGCAGGAGAGTGCCTCCTGAGAGCCGTGTGGGCCCGGGGCTGGGACAGGTCGTTCCAGGGCTTTCCAGAGGAGGGGGGATAGGAAGAGGAGGGGGAGGAGGAGGGGGAGGAGCAGGAGGCCGAGGAGGAGGACGAGGAGGAGGAGGAGGAGGAGGAGGCCGAGGAGGACGAGGAGGTGGAGGAGGAGGAGGAGGAGGGCGTTCTCCGAGCGTCCTGGGGCGCGTTAGCACGCTTGTGGTGACCGATGCGTCGTCCGGAACCGCCAGGTCTCACAGATCCCCGATGATTTCCCTTGTCTGGTTTTGTCCCGGTCCTGGCTTCGTCGCAAAGGGGGGGGGGGCCTGCGCGGGCCCTAAGTGGTCACCGCGGCCCCAACAGGTGTAGGAAGAGGGGCGCGCGTTTCGTCTTCTTCTGTTTCTTCTTTTTAGTATTCCTCTCAGTGTTCGTCGTAGTCGTATTATGTGGTTTCTTCTTCTTACTTCAAAAAATCGCATTAGGACTGTTTTTTTTTTATTCTTGGTGATACTATTCGTTGTCATACGATTAGTTGCTATTATTACGGTTGTTGTAATTCGGATTGTTATTATTAGTATTAGTATGCTTTTCATGTCACCCAGTCATCTTAGTTTGCTGATTATGTATGTTATTCACTTCCCCCCGTCTATTGCCATCCCCCCCCCGAACAAACGCCCCAGATGGGCGGATGGAGGCAGGCAGGGTAGTCAGAATTTACTCGCCAGAGCGCGCGCGGGGAGGAAAGAAGCTTCAATTGACCTCGCGCAACTGTTGTTGTACCTTGCCGTTTGTAACCCTCGTCGGCACAGCTGGGCTCGTCCCTGGGGTCTTCTTGGCATGACGAATAGGATAGTGATCCATCACTAGTGGGCGACGAGATTTGGCTTCAGCGCAGTATCTTCAGCCGCTTGCGGGCAAAACAGTTCGTAGTGCATTCGGCTGCCAGACATGTATGACGATTGTGCAAACAGCGGGTGTAGCCATAACATTTCAGTTGGTCTGTAGTTCGGCCTGCGCAGTAGAGAATCAGAAGACGAGTTTCCCAGCTCGTGCTTGGATGGCATTATTTTGCAACTGATGCTGCTGACGTCAGGGCTCTTCGGCGCGGTCTGGGGAACCTGGCGCGGGTCCGCGACCTTTTGCTCTTTTGACTGGGTGTGTCGAGAGCGATCTAGAGCTGCCAAAACCACTACCAAGCACAAGCCAACGCAAGTGTTCTCGAAATCCGCGTCCATGATCTCTCAGCTGAGAGACGCGCAGCTTGAGCTGGAGGCAGAATCGCACCCGGGCTCGTTGTCTGGCTCGTCGATCCCAGAGGGACGGCAGAACCAGGTGAATAACCATGACGGCAGTGGGCGCTTGCATCATAAGCAGCACACGTGTGTATATATGTATATATACGCATACATGTCAGTGGATTGTGTCTCGGGGGAGGAAGAGGTACCCATACCGCTACCCTTCCCTCGTTCTCCCCTTTGTGCGGCCCCCTGGGAGGCCTCGTCGCCACCGCTGGATTCGCCTTGAAATCCTGGTCAGAATGCACCCTGCGAGTGGTCTGCGGAGTAGCGGCGTGAGTACCTTTTGGTTTCCCCAGTTTCTGGGTCTCATGCCAGCAACGCGCAGAGGCGTTTGGGGGGAGGGGGGAGGGCTTCTCAGAAGCACCCCTGCTTCTCAGAGAGCGCGGGCCTCACCTGTAGATGTAGGGCGGGCGCTTTCCAAGAAGCAGCCTCCTTCTAAGGAGCCCTCCCTCCTCCCCCTGCCCCCCTCGGCGCGCTGCCGATCATGGGGAGAGTGGCGGTGTATCCTCCTCCTCCTCATCCTCCTCCTCCTCCTCCTCCTCCTCCTCCTCCTCCTCCTCCTCCTCCCTCCTCCTCCTCCTCCTCCTCCTCCTCCTCCTCCACCTCTAACAGCCAGCGATTTCATATACCGCCACCTTCCCGTGGAGGCACAGGGAAAGCTTGGATTGCACGCAAGGGTGGCCCTTCCCGCGGAGTGACCTCTTGTGCGGGCCCACTGGGGCTCCCCGATCGCCGAGCGCGAGGCGGCAGCGGCGTCCGGCGCGCTCGTGTTCGGCTTCCCCGCGGACCCCAGAAAGCCCCGGGGTACTTCTTGGGGTTCGCAGCGCTCTCGCGGGCCTGTGGGGGGGGCGGGCAGTTTGGGGGCCAATGGGGTTTCAGTTTTGGGGGCCGGTGGGGAATTTCTTGGAGGCATAGCTTGGAGCCTCTTGGGGGCCTCTTGGGGCTTCTTGGGGGGGCCACTCCTTGCGTGTCGCCGAGAACTCGTCGGCCGGTGCCCGCCTGCACACCCGCGGCGCACGCCCCCACCCCTGGGCTAGCCTCCCGCCTCGAGGGCTCCCGCGGGGAGGACCGGCGAGTGGAACGGCCGGGCGGACCCGGACAAGGGACAGCGTGAGGCCGCCGCGCGCCCGGCAGGGGCGCCCGCGATCTAGGCTTCCTAGGTGGGGTCGGAGCAGATGGGGTCGAAGGATCTCAAAGCGTGAATTACCTACCCCGTTTTCGCTTCCAGGCAAAGCCAAGCCATACCACGCGCCTCCTCGTCAAGCGGCCTGATCAGTACAGGCTTCAGTTTGGCATCGTTTGGTGTCTCTTGGAAGCGAGGGCGGTCAAAAGCGAGGTAGGTTTGTTTTCCCCCTATAGATGGGGTCGGAGCAGATGGGGTCGAAGGATCGCGCCGCATCGCCGATGCATCGGCGATGCGGCTCGATGCGGAGCCCGATTTTCTTCACGCCGACGTCGCCGATGCATCGCCGACGTCGCCTGTGCATCGCCGATGCATCGCCGATGCCTCGGCGATGCATTGGCGATGCGGCGGGATCCTTCGACCCCATCTACTCCGACCCCATCTAAAAGGCCTCTATACGATTAAGTCGGGCCTGCCCCTCTACAGGAGGAATAACCAAAACTAGTCAAGCACCAGTCTGGGGGCGATTGTTCGAATACGTTCGACTATTTCTGAGCGTGTCTGGACTACTCTTCACTTGTCGTCCAAAATCCACCTGTAGGAGGACCTGTCCGACCTGAGCCTACGATCGGAGTCGATGCGAGTCGATTCGCCAGCAGAGGCCACGATGCCGATTCGATGCAGTGCTGATCGGTTCACCGGCCATCGGCTGGAGCAAGCCGGAGCCAGGCGCGGCCTTGCGATTTCGGTGCGATGCGGAACGACTCGTTGGCGATCCGGTCCGTTGCTAATCCGATCCGATGGTGCGGTTCGATGCAGCTCGGGCGTGCCCGGGCCTCCCTCGCGGGCCCTTGTCGCGCGAGCCCCTCCGCTCTTCGAGGTGGCCGCTTCCACCTGGAGGCAATCCTGAGAGGGGGCCTCGCTTTCTTTCGGGGGGGCGTAAGACCCGGGTTTGCCGGGACTCGGGTTCGCCATCGTTTTTTGACGACCGCGACTCGGATTTTGACGAGAAGGAGTTTCGTGGGATGTCTGCAGCGGGAGGCCTCGTCAAAATGCAGGCTCGGCCTCGTCATTTTTTTGACGACCTCGTCGGGGATTTCCGAGTCCCCCGTACCCGGGTCTTACGTCTCCCCGATTCTTGAGGAATGGAACACTGCTTGCATCTTCTCCTCGGCGGGAGGGCAGCGGAGGCCAGCGGACGTATAGAACGAGGCAGCCTCCGCCGGCCGAAGGCCCGCGGAAGCCGGCTGACGTACAACATATCAGCCCCAAGAGATGACAAGTTTGGGGGGGGGGGTCAGCAAAACAGGGCTAGGATCGGGATAACTCGCTCCAGAGCGTTCCGGAGCGCTCTCAGAGCGTGCCGGAACGCTCTGGAGCGGCCGCGGCGCCCAATACATCCTCCAAACCCGCCGATTCTCAGAGATTTCGAGTTATCCCGCTCCGATTTTGTCCCGATCTCCGCCACCGGAGCTGGCCAGGCTCATCGAGGGCCCCGGAGTGCGGGCAGAGAGAGCCTCCCGACCCAGGCCAGGCGCGTCTGTACACAAGTCCACGGGGATCGACTGACAGTTTGACGGGCGAAGAACGGTATAAAATACACTTTTTCGCTGTCGGGGGCGCCTGTCCCTGGGCGGCTGGAAAGTTTCTACCCCTACGGTGCCACCGTAAGGGTATAAACTTTCCAGCCGCCTTGGGACAGGCGCCCCCGACAGCGTACAAGTTTCGCCCGTGAAACAGTGAGAGGCTCAAGGGCGGTTTCCGGAAGTGTTCGTCGTGACCTGTGGATGTGCTCTTGCCTCGGGATGCGTTCCAGCAGCGTCGTCTCGCCGAGGGCGTCCAGGGGTGCCCGGACCGCCCCGAGCGGCCGCCAGAGATCCGATTGTACGACCCGAAAGCCAGACCAGATTGGTTCAGTGCCTGGCTCAAGATTCCTCGAGGCTTCCTGCGGGTGCCTTCAGATGCCTGAGGACTTCTGAAGTTTCTGGAGGAGCCCAGCATGATTCTCTGGCCGAACGAAAAGGGGGGATAGAGAAAGGGGGGGGGGGGGTACGAAATCTGCTTCATTCAGCTGGTTTCGGCCCCGCCGCCGGGCCCATTCCTCGATACATGGGCGCCTCCTGGCGCCGGGAGGCGCTGGGAAAATCAGCTACGTGAGCTGATTCTCTACCCTACCCTTTGCTTTCCCCCCCTTTCGTTTCCCCCGATATTCTTTAAAGAGTCCTGAGGAGTCCTGCAGGAGCCCTGGAAGATCCCCGACGATTCCCGAGCATTCGCTCCTCCCCCTCCTCCCCCTCGGGAATTAATTTATGATTTTGGGTGCTCCCGATCTCGCTCCGTGGTTCCCCCCTTACGGAATCAGTTCAGGAGGGGAAGAAACACACAGACACAATTAATCGTCGATTCCTCGAAGTGGGGGGGGAGACGAACACCCCGAAAACAATTGAACATATGGGGAATCCTGGGATTTGTGTCTATTTATTTGTGTGTCCCAGAGCCCCTTCATCAGTCATTTTTTGTGCGAATGATAACACAGGGGGGATCGATCAGTGGTTCTCGAGTTTATTCTCAAGTTTGAGCACTCTTTCGCATGTTCTCCTCCAGTCTCGGACAGCGAGAATGGAAGGACAGCGCCCATCTCGGTTCCCGTCGTATTTACTCCCTCTGCCCCCCTTTCGGCTGCCCGACCACACCACTTCGCCTCGAATTGATGCGGGTCACTTCGAGGTCGAGGCTTCCTGGGCGGCCGTTCAGCTATAATACGCTGGCTGCTGATATCATTTTTGGTCGTTCATTGTTTCCTTCATCGGACCTCCCTTCCAACCTTGGGCGTTGGCTAAGTAGGCCGCCCCGAATTTCACGCAGCAGCGCGCTCCAACTGCCGCGAATCGCATTGTGTCAGATCCATGGCCTTGACAGGGGATGGGAGGGCTGTATCATGGGCCCCCGGTGCTCACTTACACAGAGCACCATCGCCAGCGGATGGGCTGGCTTCATTGCCCCTGCGGTCGATTTGAGTTGATTGCGAGCGGGATGAAATATTACAGCAGCGAACTCAGAGGTCCACCGAGGTGCGATGGCGGACCCGTGGTGCTTCCGCCTCACGTAGGCGATTCTGGCAGATGCCCAGTGATGGATCAAAGAAGGACGGACCACCCTAGAGCCTAAAAGACACATGTCTGCCTCGTTTCAACGAATCGTAAATTCCCCGCGCGAGATCCAGGCCATTTGCGAGCAGGTACCTGTCGAGTAGTGGAGCGCGCTTGTCTAGGTGCACAGTGGTCGGGCCATTATTGGGCTGCTTTGTGACTGTTCACATCCGTACGCTCTGATCCTGCGCTCGGTCGCTATATAATTAGGCTCGCGCGTAGCCCGCCCGACCTTTTCGGATGCCTCCTGCGCTTTCGCTTGCGGCCGCAACAAAAAAAAAACTGTTCACATCCTGCGCTGTCTTCCTCCGACAGGTCGTTGAGGTCTCCACGGCGCACAGCGCAGGATGCGTCATCGAAGGAGTGAGATATAACTCGGCTCCGCCTCGCCGGCTCTGCGAGGCGGTGGCCCCTCGCAGGCGTGGCAACGAGCAAGGGGGGTCGTGCCGTGGGCGACCCCGCAGCTCGGACGCGAGCCCCGTCCGGGTGCCGAGGGGCCCAACGGTTTGAGAAGCTGTGGCCCTCCCAGCACTCGGGGGCGGAAAAGAGGGGGGTGATGACTAGGCGGGGGTGGATATCATGGCGGGGGCCATGATATTTCCTCTTGTTTCATGGCTCCTCTTCTTGTTTCATTACGTCCCTGGCCCCCCCGCTGGGCCGCGCACATGCCGCCGGTCATGATTTGCACCCCCCCCCTCTTGGACACCCCCCTCTTGGCCGCTCCCGAAGCACCGTCCCGCGAACATCCCGATTTTCGGTGGCAAGTCATGGGAGCCGGGTGTACCCTCTCAATGTGCCGTCTTCGGCGTCGAGGGGCGTCGATTGGCGCCTGGGAGTCGATGGGATACCGTCGGTTTTCCGTCGACTAGCGTCGATTCAGCGTCGATTCAGCGTCGATTCAGCGTCAATTCGCAGCAGCCGGCGAGATGGTATGGGAGGATCCCGTGAGCTGCCACAGAACCGACCGTGCGCCAGCTGCTTTTTCGCAATGCCTCTCCCCTGTCGGGCCTCTCCTTCCTGGCGCGAGGGCCCCGTCGCCTCCTCCCGAGGGCCCACAGCACACACACACACACACTCACACACTCTTTTGATTCGCGGGTCGAGAACGCACCTCTTCCTGTCGAAGCTAAGCGGGCCGCGCGAAGCTTGAATTAACATTGAGAGGGAGGAGAGGGGGAAGGCGCAGCGTCAGAGCGAGGCCGGGAGGAGGTAAAGCCTCGGGATCAGGCGGTGCCGAAATCGACGTACTTGCAAAGGCGCGCCTTATCCAGGAACCCGGTGGCGAAGTACCGGCAGAAGCAAAATGCTGTGGTTGGTGCTGCCGTCAACGGCTCATCATGTACACCAGCCTCGAGTTGGCGGCGAGAGGTGACGCGCCTTGCACGCACACACACACACATATCCTGCTCTGCCTCACTCGGGAGCTCCCACTCTCGCGGGACGGGGAGAAGAGCAGAACGCACGGCCAGTGGGGAACGCGCACGCAACCGAACCCGACCACTCATATCCGTCATGGAGGTAGAGCCGCGCGCGAGCAGAGGGCTCAAAATCCGATCGCGCGCGACTGGGTCAACGCCGGTCGAAGAAGAAGAAGGAATGCCATAGACATCAACTTTCGGCGCTCCGCGCGGATTTCTGGATCTGCGCTGGGCCCCCCTGGCGGCGCCTCCGGCGCAGCGCGCCAGGAAGGGGGGCCTTGCGCAGATCCAAAAAATCGGCGCAGGGCGCCAAAAGGTTGTGTGTTAATTGAAGTTTTGCTCCTCGCCATGCCCGAAGTGTGAGGGGGTCAGCATGGTGTGTCCTCCGTCCGCAGCCGTCCGCCTCGAAGTACATCTCAACCATCTTACCACTCTCCTCCTCGACTCTCCTCCTCCGCCTCCTCGTCGGTCCTCGATCCTCGATCCTCCTCGACCTCGGATCCTCGAGTCTCATCCTCCCCATCGACCCTCGATCCTCTTGTTGGATACGCGTGTTGGTGGTCCGCCCTGTGTCTGGTCGAGTGGCCAAGTCAGCGCACACTCTAGAGCCTGAGTTGCCGCGGGCTGCGCAGAGGATCGTGCAGAGATCTGTGCAGCAGGACATCTCATTCGCCCACGCTGTACGCACGGTGGCCAACTCCGACTTCTCAACCCCCGCAACCCCTGGCCAGAACTCGGGGCAAGAATTCCGCCCGCCATCATGTTTTTTGTCACGCCTTTCAGCCAGACCCGGGCGGGAAGGGTAGGGGAGGGTTCATATCGTATGGACCGTTCTGAACGTTCACCTCATGATACACAGGCGTTAGTGGAAGAGGCGCTTCACAGGCTGATGTGGCCCTCGACTGCAAACCGCGCCACTGTGCGCAGACCAGGCTCGCCGAGGGAAGCGTGGTGGCACAAAGAGTTGGCACCGCCATCGGCGGTCGATGCGCACTGTGCCCCTTCCCGCTCCCACGCCTGAGCTGTACGCACGCCGCGAGCGAGGGCAGACGGGCGCAGTGACTGCGGTTGCGGACGCAGCGGCCTCTCTGTTCTCCGATCGTCACCCCCCACGTGTTTCGTGGGGTTCTGGTGGTTCCCCAGATGTGTCGTGGGGTTATGTTTTTTCCCCAGCCGCGTCCGACCCGCGAAGCTCTCTCTCTCTCTCTCTCTCACTCGCTCTCTCTCTCTCACACACACACACCTCACCTCCTTCCTCTTCTCCTCCTCGCCCTTCCTCCCCTCACCCACGCGCAACTCGTGCACGGCACGTACATGAGACACGCGTCTACACCTAGCCGCACGCATGCACACACTCGCAGGCACGCGCTCGCACACACGCACACACACCATACAAGACTAGTTCACACTTGGCGTGTTCACTGCATCATCCACCCAATACGTATGCACCACATACTGAGCACCCCTCAGACATCTGGGCACCTACATGGGCCACACTGTGGTTTTATCTCCCTCCCGCGTCGCAGCCGCGATCACCTTCACCTCCTACTCCCCCTTTGCATGTCCTTGCCAGTCCCACCGCAGTGGACACACACATACACACATGCACACGCACAAGCACAAGCACAAGCACAAGCACAAGCACAAGCACAAGCACAAGCACAAGCACAAGCACGCACGCACGCACGAACGCACGCACACACACACACACACACACACACACACACACACGCACACACGCACACGCACACGCACACGCACACGCACACGCACACGCACACGCACACGCACACGCACACACACACACACACACACACACGCACGCGCGCGCGCGCAAGCACACACACACGAACTCACACACACACACACACACACATGCACACACACTCACATTCACACGCCACATGCTGGGCACCCAAATCAGACACACGTCCACACGTCCACATACAGCCTGACACACATCATACACATGACACGCACACCACACATCACATACGCGCAAGATTCGCAGGGCGTGGCAGGCGTGGCGTTTCCTCGAAGCCAGACGGTGTGTGCAGAAGGCACAGAGAGGTGCGCTGGGGGTGGTCCCGCTATCCGATTCGGGGACGCAAAGCGTGGCACGCCTGGCACTTCCTCGACACCGCAGGGGGATGCGTTGGGGTTGGTCCCCCTATCCGTTTCGGGTTCGCAACGCGTGGCAGGCGTGGCATTTCCTCGACACCACAGGCGATGCGCTGGGGGTGGTCCCCATATCTTCTTCAGGGTCGCAAATCGTGCAGGCGTGTCGTTTCCGCGACACCAAAAGGGCGGGGCGCTGGGGGTGGTCCCCCATACCCGTTTCGGGTTCGAAAATCGTTGCAGGCGTGGCACTTCCTCGACACCACAGGGGGTGCGCAGGGGGTGGGCCCCCCATCCGCTTAGTAGTCGCAAAGCGTGGCAGACAGGCGTGGCACTTCTTCGACGCCACGTGGGGGTGCGCCCGGGGGTGGTCCCCGTATCCGTTTCGGGCTTGCAGACCGTGGCAGGCGCGGCACTTCCTCGACACCTCAGGGGGGGGCGCTCGGCGTGGCTCCCCGACCCGTTTCGGGGTCGCAGCGCGTGGCAGGCGTGGCATTGCCTCGACACCGCATGGGGATGCGCTGGGGATGGCACCCTGTCCTATTCGGGCTTGCTAAAGCGTGGCAGGCGTGGTATTTCCTCGGCACCACAGGGGGGCGATGGGGGTGTTCCCAATATCCGCTTCGGGGTCGCAACCCGTGGCAGGCGTGTCGACTCCTCGACGCGACAGGGGGGTGGCGTGGCACGCTCTCGAAACCACAGAAGGTGCGCAGGGGGTGATCCCGCTGCGCGGCGTCTATGCGTGTCAGGGTCGGGAAGCGTGGCAGCCGCGGCACTTTCTCGACACCAGAATGGTGCGCAGGGGGTGGTTCCCCACCGCGGTCCGTATTCGCGTCAGGGTGGGAAAGCGCGGCGGGCGTGGCAGTTCCTCTACACCAGAAGGGCGAGCGCAGGGGGTGGTTCCTAAGCGCGCTCTTTATGCGTGCCAGGGTCGGAAAGCGCGGCAGGCGTTGCTCTTTCTAGACACCAAAGATACATAGTGCGCAGAGGGGGGGGGGCAGCTTCTGCGCAGCACCTATGCGCGCCAGGGTCAGAAAGCGTGGCAGGCGCTGCATTCTGTCGACGCCAGAGGGGGTGCGAAGGGGATGGCCCCCCAGCGCGGCCGCTATGCGTACCAGGGTCGGGCAGCCTTGCAGGCGTGGCACTTCCTGTATACCAGAGGGGGTGCGCAGGGGGTGATCCCTCGGCGCGGTGTTTAGCGTGCCAGTGTCGGTAAGCGTGGCAGGCGTGGAATTCTCTTGTCACCAGTGGGGTGCGCAGGGGGTGGCAAGCGCGGGGCCGATGCGTGCCAGGGTCGCGTTTAAAGGTGGCAGGCGTGGCACATTTTCGAGACCAGAGAGGGTGCGCAGAGGTTGATCCTTCAGCGCGGGGTCTATGTGTGCCAGCGTCGGGGAGCTTAGCAGGCGTGGCATTTTCTGGACACCAGAGGGTGTGCGCAGGGGTTGGTCCCTCGGCGCTGTCCGTATGCGCACCAGGGTAGGAACGCAAGGCGGGCGTATGCGCATCAAGGTAGGAACACAACGCGCGGTGTCTATGCGTACCAGTGTCGAAAAGCGTGGCAGGCGTCGCACAACCTCGACACCAGGAGGGTGCACAGGGGGGGGCCCGAACGCTGTTTTTATGCGTGCCAGAGTGAGAAAGCGTGGCAGGCTTGGCACTTCCTCGGCACCCGAAGGGGGTGCGCAGGCGGGGTGTCTCAGCGCAGCCTCTATGCGTGCCAGGGTCTGAATGCGTGGCAGGCGTGGCGCTTCCTCGACACCTGAAAAGGAGTGCGCAGGGGGTGGTCCCTCAGCACGACCTCTATGCGTGCCGGGTCTGACAGCGTGGCAGGCTTGGCATTTTCTCGGCACCAGAGTGACTGCACAGGGGGTGGTCCCTAAGCGCTGTGTCGATGCATGCCAGGGTCGGAATGCGTGGCAGGCGTGGCACCTGCTCGACACCAGAGTGGGGCGCGGGGGGGAGGGCTCAGCGCGGTCCTTATGCTTGGCAGGGTCGGAAAGTTTGGTGGTCCCTCCGAGCGGTGTCTGTGCGTGCCAGGGTCGGAAAGCGTGGCAGGCGTGGCACCCCTTCGGCACCAAAGGTGGTGCGCAGGGGGCGGCCCCTCAGCGCGGTGTCTGTGCGTGCCAGGTTCGGAAAGCGTTGCAGGTATGGCACTTCCTCGACACCAGAGGGGGTGTGCAGGGGGGTCCCTCAGCGCTGTCTACGCACTCGTGCCAGGGTCGGAAAGCGTGGCAGTCGTGACGTTTCCTGGCACCAGAGAGGGTGCGCAGGGGTGGTCCCTCAGCGCGGTGTCTATGCGTGCCAGGGTCGGAATGCGTGGCAGGCGTTGCATTTTCTCGACATCAGGGAGGGTGCGCAGGGGGTGGTCCCTCAGCGCTGTTTCTAGGCGTGCCAGGGTCGGAATGTGTCGCAGGCGTGGCACTTCCTTGACGCCAGAGGGGCCCCTGAGCGCGGTCTTCAAGCGTGCCAGGGTCGGAAAGCGTGGCGGGTCTGGCACTTTCTCGACTCCGGGGGGGGGGGGGGTAGGGGGCTGAGCAAGGTGTCTATTTACGACACTGCCCCAAATCCTAGCAGGCCTGGCACTTTCTGGACGCCAGAGGGGGTGCGCAGGGTGTGGTCCTTGAGCGCGGTGTCTATCCACGACATGTTCGCAACTTCTAGCAGGCATGGCACCTTCTCGACGCCAGAGGGGGTGCGCAGGGGGTGGTCCCTGAGCGCGGTGTCTATCCCTGACATTGTCGCAAAGCTTAGCAGGCGTGGCACTTTCTGGACGCCAGAAGGGGTGCGCAGGGGGCGTTCACACTGACTGCACCGGAATCAAGATACAACGTACATGCGAAGCGATGACAAAAGCGTTAAATTCAGTATGTGGGGTTATTCGGAATCGTAATGGATTACCCAGGGCGTCTGGGCCGTGGTCCTTCCGAATGGTTGGAGTTGCGGTTGAGCGTATTCCTACACTGGTCGCCGCGTCGATGACCTCCAGCACACGTTTGGCATGCATTGGACGCATCCGCGATTCGGGTCAGCTCGTCGCTGTATTCGCGGCACTGTTCCATGCCGGAGCGCACGGAAGGGTGCCGGGAAGGCAGGTCAGGGGGGGCGAAGACAGAGGCCAGGCGCGGAGCTGGGGATTTTGCCCTGGGAGTGGGGGCGAAGATGGGGATCTGCGGATCTGTAGGCATTGGCCATCTGCAGCCTGGGTCAGTACGGTATCTAGAATGTCGCATGTGTGCGGGCCAGCCAGCATTTGCGCTCGCCAGATGTGGCTTGATTGCCCTCAGGTCGACCGGTCGTACACGCCCATCACAGGCAGTCCGCGGAAGAGTCCGAATAGGAGTGGGAAGCGAAGGAGTAGTAGTAGTAGTAGTAGTAGTAGTAGTAGTAGTAGTAGTAGTAGTAGTAGTAGTAGTAGTAGTAATAGTAGTAGTAGTAGTAGTAGTAGTAGTAGTAGTAGTAGTAGTAGTAGTAGTAGTAGTAGTAGTAGTAGTAGTAGTCAGTAGTAGTAGTAGTAGTAGTAGTAGTAGTAGTAGTAGTAGTAGTAGTAGTAGTAGTAGTAGTAGTAGTAGTAGTAGTAGTAGTAGTAGTAGTAGTAGTAGTAGTAGTAGTAGTAGTACAGTAGTAGTAGTAGTAGTAGCAGCATCAGCAGCAGCAGCAGCAGCAGCAGCAGCAGCAGTAGTAGTAGTAGTAGTAGTAGTAGTAGTAGTAGTAGTAGTAGTAGTAGTAGTAGTAGTAGTAGTAGTAGTAGTAGTAGTAGTAGTAGTAGTAGTAGTAGTAGTAGTAGTAGTAGTAGTAGTAGTAGTAGTAGTAGTAGTAGTAGTAGTAGTAGGGGAGGAGGAGGAGGAGGAGAGGAGGAGGAGGAGGACAAGAGGAGGAGGAGGAGGAGGAGGAGGAGGAGGAGGAGGAGGAGGAGGAGGAGGAGGAGGAGGAGGAGAGGAGGAGAGGAGGAGGAGGAGGGTAGGAGGAGGAGGAGGAGGAGGAGGAGGAGGAGGAGGAGGAGGAGGAGGAGGAGGAGAAAGAGAACGACCAGGTGGATGTGCAGGGTCGGAAGAAGAGAGGTAGGCGGAGGGGGAGGCAGAGGCGGGGAGGAGAGGAGGAGCGGAACCGCGCGGGAGAGGGCACGGCCGGGAAGCCGAGGAGTGCGCGTGAGCGCGCACGTGCGCGCCCGCGCGCGTGGGAGGGCGGGCACCGGCTCGGAGGTCGGCGCCTGCGCCCAGCCGCCCGCAGCAAGTTCCCGCCACCGTGCCAGCGCAGCACCCCGTGTGGCGGCGCTGCGAGCACCGCCCTCCGCAGTGCGTGGCGCGTGGCGCGCCTCGTCTCCCTTGCCCGGGGGGCTCTCATGAGGGCTGCTTGGGGCCGTCTTGGGGTCGTCGTGGGCTCCTGGTTAGGGGCCCTCTTGCGATCGTCTTCGGCGGTCTCTGGGCTCGCTTGGGCCGCCTTGGTTCTCCGTGTTGACCGGCTGGGGCTCCTTCTTTGCCGTCTGCGGCGGCGTCTCTGGGGAACGTCCTGGGGCCATCCTGGGCCATGTCTGGGCCCGATGGGGCTGTCCTGGTCCCCTGTTGGGCCGTCTTGGCCCTCCCCCCCCCTTGGGGCCGTCCTGGGCCGTCCGAGGGCCCCCATTGAGGTCCTCAGTCGGGTCTTTTTGGCTTCTCGCGTGTCCCTCCGACCGCCGAGGCCCTCCTCTGGGAGCCACCGCGGGCCGAGAGTCTCAGGAAACGCAAGGTACACACACGCATATTATATGTAATAATATATATATATATATATATATATATATGTATTAGTATTATTATTTTTCGTATTATTATTATTATTATTATTATTATTATCATCATTATTATCATCATTATTAATATGAATAATATTATTATTATTATGATGATTATTATTATTATTATTATTATTATTATTATTATTAGTAGTATTATCGTTATTATTATATATACATATGTACATATACACATAAACATAAACAAACACACACACAAGAGGTACCTCTAGTGTATATATATACACATATATATATACATATATAAACGCAAGCGAGGTAAGGCATTTGCCCCTGGCGCTTGCATGCTCTGGGCTTCCCGGAGGGCATCCGCAGAGAGTGTTGGTGGCGCTCCTCGGTGGCGCCTCTTGGTGGCGCTTCTTTGGAGCTTCATTTCTCAACCGTCCTGTGGTGTCGGGCCCTCGTTTTGAAGAGACAGCGCCCCGCGTCCCTCACTCCTGCCTGCTCCCCCTCCTCCCTGTGGCGTAGCTTTAGATTCCTCTTTGGTCTCGTGTGCTGCTGCTGCTGTTGCCTGGCAAAGAGTCACGGAGTGCGCACGCGCGAAGCCCCTCGGCTAACAAAACAACCTCCGTCATCATCAGCATCAGCATCACCACCCACCCCCACCCCGTACAGCGCTTCGTGGCCCCATCTGGAGCGCCACTGAAGGTCCCAGTGGCACCGCCCGCATGCGTCACCCCTACCCAGTACAGCGCTTCGTCGCCCCATAGGGAGCTCTACCGAAGGCCCCAGTGGCACCGCCCGCATGCGTCACCCCCACCCAATACAGCGCTTCGTCGCCCCATCGGGTGCACCACCGATGGCTCCAGTGGCACCGCCCGCACGCGATTCCCCCACCCAGCACAGCGCTTCGTCGCTCCATCGGGAGCTCCACCGAAGACCCCAGTGGCACCGCCCGCATGCGTCACACCCCACCCAGTACAGCGCTTCGTGGCCCCATATGCAGCTCATCCGAAGGCCCCAGTGACACCGCCCGTATGCGTCACCCATTGCCAGCGCAGCGCATCGTGGCCCCACAGGGTGCCCCACCGAAGGCCCCAGTGGCGGTGTTCGCATGCGTTCCCCCCGCCCAGCACAGCGCTGCGTGGCCTCATGGGGAGCTCCACCGAAGGCCTCAGTGGCTGTAATCGCATTCGCTTCCCCCATCCAATACAGCGCTTCGTGGCCAGGACCTAATAAGGAGCTCCGCCCCATTGCGGCGCACCCGTCGCACTGTTCGTTGCCCCGCAGTGCGTTCCGCCTCAGAGCACCAGTGGCAGCGCCGACGTGGCGGCCCCGCCCCACATCGGCACACCCTTCGTCAAGGGCATAATAAACGCCCCTACCCTGGTTTACGAGGCGCTGTGCGCTGAAACACCTGTGGGCTGACAGGGTAAACCCTGCGTGATGTGCCGCGTCCTGGCGGCTCTAGGCTTTGGGGGTTCCCAGGAGGTTTACAGACCACGCACTTGTAACCCAGGGTAGGGTCGTTTTTTCATCCCTCAACTTCGCATGCTCCATGGCCCCATGAGGAGATCCCCCGAAGGCGATACACGCAACGACGGCACTCACAACTGCAAATGGTTGGGTCCTTCGCCAGGATGCGTTGGTTGGCTGTTGGGTGCCTCTGTAGCCCAGCACCCTGGATAATCAAGCATCCCCCCTGACCCCTGAGAGTTGACTATCCCGGGCCAGGGCAGAGCTGGTCGGGGAAAGGGGCGGCGAGGCTGAACTTCATCATCAGCGCTGGGGAAAGTAAGAATCGTAGTTGAGATCCTCTCACGTTGACTAGCCACACCATCACGAGCGTGTGGCAGGGCTACGGCCACACCGGCGGCACTGATGGCCTCCCTCGGCCGTCTGAGAATACATCTGCGGGAGGCGATGGCGAGCCTCAGGGAGGCGCGTTGGGCCGCCCAGGGAGCCTTGGCCGCGAGAGGGGGGCGATGCACATGCGAGGAAGTGCAGCGAGGAGGGGGTGGGGCCTCGAGAATCGGCGGCGGCCGTGGGGGCGGGGGATGTGAGAAGGAGAAGGCCTTGTCAGGAGGCGGCCGGACTTCGCAGAAGCCCTCGCGCCTCCTGACAGGTGCTCTGCGCCTTCGGGGAGGGCTCAGAAAACTTATCAGAAGGCTGGTGGGCTTCCGATCCTTCTGAGAAGGCCTTCTTCTTCTCACTTCCCCCTCTCGCTTGACGCCGAGAGAAGACTTGCAGGAACGCTACCAAACAGCAGTTGGCGATCTAGAATGCCCGAGCGTGCCAGGGGACACCTGTGCGGATTACGGGGGTGGCTGCGTTTCGCGATTGTTCGCATCAGCCCAAGATGTCCGCCTTGTTCGTGTCAAGCTGTTCGCAGAGACGTGGATTCGCTCTTGAGCTGGTCCGTTCGCGCAATTGGCCACAGCTTGGGGCTTGGACTCATCAGGACAAAACTCAGGACGAGGAAAAGGACACTGACAAATACACGTCGGTCCCCATGAAAATAAGGGAACATATGGGAATTGGAGGGGAAGACGACACTCCAGACAATACGACAATATATGGGGAATCATGGGACGTGTGTCTATTCATTTGTGTGTCCCAGGGCGCCTTCAAGAAAATCCAGGGCGGAGGAGACGATCCGAGGGCCTCCGTGTCAGCCAGCCCGCTGATAATCCGAGGCGGCAGAGCAGGAACGGGAGCACCGGCTGGGCCCGTCGATAAGGCTCGCACCTCGAGAACGTGTCTGTGCTGACTCGGCGGCGAGCCTGGGGGAGAGTGAGAAGGGGCGGGCCGTCTCAGAAGGCTCGGAAGTCCTCTGGCCTTCGGAGCCAATTTCTGGGCCAGACCCGGAGATGCAGAACGCCTCTGAGAAGGCGCGAGGGCTTCTGAGAAGTCCCGCCGCCTTCTGGGAAAGCCCTCTCCTTATCACTAACCCCCCTCACTCGACGCCGACCATCATGACTTGGTGAGCCAACCTGCTGTCTTATGCTTACCAGAATGGCGGCATTCGACCCGCATTCTCAGCTCAATGCTTCAGACTTGCCAATACTACGAAGGCTCATGGCCTTCGCCGTTGGCTGCTCTTGCGTATCAGGCAGCGCGCACAGTGAGATTGGTAAGACGTGGCAGGTGATGAAGTGGACGGTTATTTCGATCTGCTGGTGAAGATCTACAAGCCAGGAACAACGCGAACCTCTGAGGACGAGCAGGACTTCCGATCACGTTTGTCAAAGCACACCCATTGACATGGCAGCGGTGATAGTAACAACACGTCGCGTTCACTTGGATTATGTATCGGGGCGTTCCTTGCCACATGTTTGCCAGCAAGTAAACCGGTGTTTGCCACGTTGGCCCACTCTGCTCCATCGGTGGCCCGAAAGCTCTTACCTCTAGACCCCATTCGGGTGATGAGGGAGTTGGGACGGATGTGTGCAGCTGCCAGTGCTCCCTGGCGTCGCGTCGGATGGCCCGACCGATCCACTTAACCATTTGACTGTGGAATCGTTGCTCCATCGATCTGCCAGTGATGGAGGAGGAGGAGGAGGAGGAGGAGGAGGAGGAGGAGGAGGCGGAGGGAGGAGGGAGGAGGAGGAGGAGGGGGAGGAGGCGGAGGAGGAGGCGGAGGGGGAGGCGGAGGGAGGAGGAGTAGGAGGAGGAGGAGGAGGAGGAGGAGGAGGAGGAGGAGGAGGAGGAGGCGCAGGAGGCGGAGGAGGAGGAGGAGAAGGAGGAGGCGCAGGAGGCGGAGGAGGAGGAGGAGCTTGCGCTGCACAGGTCGGTGCACAGGCGTGGGGCGGCCACCGGACCGCCGCCGAGGGCACGGGTCCTCCCGGCGCGCGCCACGGGCCGCCCCTTTCGGAGGCTGCGCCTCCGCCCCCTTCGGAGGCTGCGCCTCCGCCTCCGGAGGCCACGGCCCCGCCCGCAACCAATCGGGGGTCCCCAAACGGGGTGGTGACCACACCGTGCGGTGAGTCGGTGGGGATTTGGGGTCACTGCACGGTTTTGGGACTCGGGTCTCTTTCTGAGGACGTTTCGGGCGACAGGGGCCTCCAGGGTCCCAAAACCGTGCGGTGACGGACCGTGCGGTGAGGTCCTGGGGGATTTCGAGGTCACCGCACGGTGTGTCACCGCACCGTTTCGGGACTCCAAAGTTTTGAGGAGGCCCAGGCTCTCAAATCCTCGGGTGGGGAATCTCGATGGCAGAACTGGTGTTCCCAGAGATTGTGCCCCACCTCGTCGAGTGAGGCGCAGAACGTTCGCAGACGAGCATGCTGCGCGCTTCTCATGGATCCGACCAGCAGATGGAGCTTGGGGTGAGTCAGTTCTGTAGTCGATCCACTACTCGAAATCCGAGGCTCCGCCCAGCAAGGGTGTTCGTCCGTGGCGCCGCATTTTCTCTCTGCGGTTGACCAAAAGCGGCCACCACCGCAGAATGCCAGCCACTGAGATGGGTTATAAACAGTACCTGTTGAACTTGGAAGGAGTGAACTCGTCAGAGCAGGAGTGATGAGTAGCAGTCTGATTACATGCCTGTCGTTAAAAGTAGACTCTGTCGATCCCTCGATCCAATCTGCTTCAAGCGCCTTGCTACCTCAAGATTCGATATGCTCTTGCTGTGTTGTGTTATTATCTGGGAGGGTCTGAAACCAATATGCTTTCTCTGCCTTCCTACTTTATGTGTTGACCCACTTCTTCCGACCGACGTGTACGAGCAGGCGTAGTTGCTGAGGCGTAAAGCCGCAGGAATTGATGTGCCCTGTTGTTTGGATGGTCCACTGGTTCCAGGCAGTTGCAATCGTTGAGGGTGACAGTTGGTTATCCAAAGAAGCGATCTAGTTTCTTGACGCCTCCCAGCAAGTAACACCAATCCGTTGCCAGGTTTCTTGGACCAACGGCGGGAAGGTCAGCCAGTACTTAGACAGCAAGAACCCCGGCGACGTGATTGAAATCAACGGAACCGCAATGCATGTCCAATGTTGGTTCCCAACGCTGTTCGTCAGCAGTCCGTCTTCTTCTCTCACTCAAGACTATTCGTCAGCCGTCCGTCGTCTTGATCCTACTCGTCGATGTCGCTGTCAAGGGAATCTCGTACCAGTGGCGCACAGCAGGCAGGTTATATGTCCAGCAAGCATGGGAGATGATCCAACCGAGTACGATAGGCGTGCCACCCCGTCACCCTGTCAGCGCTCGGGTTGTAGTTGGGACTCGTTGAGTTGTTCATACCAGGCTTCATGAGTTCGATATTCGGGTCGCTGTTTGTCATCCGTTCAAGCCGAACGCACATGATTGAATATCGCATGGGCAGCACAACGAGGCATAGCAATTGCTAGTGACGGTGCAGACGTCCCAGGTTTCTCAATGTTTTGAACGTTGCATCCGAGATGTTCTTAAGGTAAATTGTGAAGTAGTGTTGGGCACAGTCAAGGAAACACAGGAGTTTGTTGCAGGCCCCGGGGTCATCCCAATGCCATTCCAATTTCGATTAATATTGAATCCATATCAGAGCATCGTGTCACCTTGTGAGGCTGTCTCGTGGGCTTGTGTGTGGGCCATCTCGAGACTTCGGGGTACATCTTGGGATTCGCCAGAGGTCACGCTGAGGCACCCCCAGGAACTCCCGAGACGACTGTCAAGAAGTTTTCGAGAGCGGCAGTTCTCATGTTCATGTTTTTGTTTCGATCGCTTCCATATGTGAGTCCCCCTCAACAGCGACATGTGGTGATGGGGTCTGCCTGAATCGCCACGAGCGAGAGCCCGCTTCTAGGAGGCAGCTTGCTACAAAAATGTGCCGCCAGCGTGCCGGGCCGTGCCGCGGCGTGCCCGCCGTGGCGCATGCCGTGCCGTGCCAAGGTTTTCTAAGGTGGAAAAAAAAGCGCCGCGCCGTGCTTGCGCTCCAGAGGGCGAGACACTGTGCCACGCCGTAGCCCAGGATGCTCGGGCGCGCGAGGGGATCGCCTCCTGCCGCGGCGCGACGGAAAAAAGTGCTACGCTTCCAAGCTTGAGGATCTGCGGTGCAGTGCCGTGCCCAGGCTCTGGAGCGTGGAAGGAGGTGTGGTGCTGTGCCCGCGTGGCCGTGCCGCGCCGTGCCCTCGGAGGGCCCAGGATGCGGAGAAGTGTGCCGCCCGCCGCGCCCCCGCGGGCCGCGCCCAGGCTCAGCGGCTCTGCGTCGAGGGCGGCGAGGCTGCGCCCTGACCACCCCTGCGGTGTGCCCAGGCTCTGAACCGCGGCGCACGCGCGTGGGCCCGCGCACCGCGCCCGGGCTCGCGCGCGCCGTGCCGTGCCGAGGCGCCGTGCCGCGCTCGTGCCGTGCCCGGGTGCCGTGCGGTGCCCGGCAGCTCCGGGAGTGCGGGGGAGCTCTGCCGCGCCGTGCCGTGCCGTGCCCGCCGGGCGCGGCGCCGTGCGCGGCGCGCCGGGCTGCTGTGGCGGCACGGGCCGCCCACGCCGGGCACGCCCGGCGGGGTGGTCGGCTCGCCGTGCGTGCTCGCAGGCGGCGTCGCCGTGCAGGGTTCGCCTGTGCGGTGCTGCGTGATGCCACGCAGGTCGCGCCACCGCCCACCGAGCCATTCCAACCCCACCCGCAGGCCCCGTTGCGCCCTCCATTTCCAGTGGGGGGGGGGGGGCGTTCGTGGAACGTCGAAAAACACAGATGGAGCCCTTTCCCCCCCCACCCACCCACCACCCGAAATGCGGGCCTTCGGGTTGGGTTGGGGTGGTCTTGGTAGGCCGGCGGGTCAGTTCGAGCCTTGGGCAATTGTCTGCGCTGCTCGGCGGGGCATGTCAAGGAATACGTTCTGGTCATCTTGCGGCCAGTTCGGAAGTTCTCGCAGCGTTGCGTGGTCATGCCGGATTTCGACGTCTGGCCGTCTTGGCGTGGAGGCTGCGAGAAGCATCGGCCTCTCCAGCAGCAGCGAGTGGGACTCCCCTGGCCGCTCGTCCCCGAGTGTGCTTCAACTGGCTTGGGGAACGGCGTATGCCTGTGCACCTGCGTGTGGCGCAAGACGTGGCCCTGTTCCCCGTGGGGCACGAGCTGCGTGAGGGCTGTGGCTGCATACGGGCGCGCCGACCAGTGATGCATGTGGGGCCCCTTCTGGGGTGCAGTCCGTGTGAGGAGTGAGCCGAAGTTGATCGGGGCATTGTGGGTGGTAGGGTGAGGAGGGAGCTGGACGTGGGGGGAGCAGGAGGAGGATGGAGGCGCGCGGCGCAGGTGAGCCAAAGCGAGGACCCAGCAGCACAGGAGGGTGGGAGGCTTTACACAGAGCGAGCTGGACGCCTCACACAGACACGCCTTCGCATTCACAGGCACAATTCCAGTCAAACGCGCTGACAGTGTTGGGCAAACTGACTGACACTCTAAAGAGCAAAGTGCGTTGGGAATCTGAATGTCGGCATTTCGTGAGGACCAGCATTCGGATTATCGTGACCACGCCCACCACACAGCGCTCCTTTCAGACTCCGTCAATCGCGGGAGGGCGACCTTACAGTATACGCCATGAAACGAACAGGGCGGTGGTATATTCTTCCGTCGCAGGAAGAATTACAGTGTGTGCACATTGCGAGCGATGTGAATCAAGAATCGTTGCAGCAGAGGCAACCTGTTGCAATTCAAAGCTCGCAATCGTGGCAACCACGATGCACACGTACGCCATGCATTCTGCAGAACAGGTGCCGAAGACGGGCTAACGGCGATGTGCGCAACGGTGACGTAGGTTTCGGTAGTGTAGGAAGGCGTGCCACGCGCTTTCCTGCAGCTCGTTGTGTCGTGCTCGCTCGATCCATTCCCAGATTGGAAATGTAGGACAGTGTGGCTAGTGATTTCCCACAACCCAGGCCCCCGACGTCGTGATTTTTGTCACTACGTCGACCCCCAGAGGTCTGGGCCCCTTCCCGGTACCGGCTTCTCATCCTGAGTTGTTTTTGGACAGTCTTAAGGTCCGGGAAGGGCTCCCAGAGGCCGAAAATAGCGAAAAGCCTCCAGCCGTGATTTTTTTCACAGCGCGAGGGGGTCTGGGAATTTGGTTCCAAACATCGCCGTTCATCAACATCGCCGTTCGCACGGCCTTGGAGATGCGTGGCCGAGGGAGTGAGAAAACAGAAGGTCTTCTCAGAAGGCCGCGGGACTTCTCCGAGGTCCGCGCCCCTTCTCAGCAGTTTTTTATTGCGTCTTCGGGGAAGCCTTAGAAAACTTCTCAGAAGGCCGGGGACTTCCGAACCGTCTGAGAAGGCCCGCTGTTTCTCATTTCCCCCCCGTGCTCGCTGCCGAGAGTTGGCATCTGGGGGAAGTGGACCACCGCGCGCTTCCCGCCAGCATGGCCGCCAAATTTCTTAGGCCAGGCGGATGTCACGTCGAAAAACGCAACTGGCGCGTAAGAAGTGTCGTTGTATGTGCAGGCAGTGGTTGTGAATACACTGATGTCTTTTGAGACATGCGACATGAGGATGCCATGAGGACAGCCTTCACTGCAGCAAGTTGACAGTTGAGGGCTCAACCTTCCAGGACCGCGTGGTGGAATTGAATACCTTGGTCGCGGCATGATCGCGCTCCATAATCGGACGCTCTCTGCTAAGTGAGGGGCGGGAAGGCATGTTAAAGTACGGTCGAGCAAATGACTAAAAAACCTCCTCCCGAAGCGTTGGCATCGTTTCTTAACCAGCTTGCCAGGAAGCTGGCCCAGTTTCTTGAGCTTTTTCGTCCCTTCCAACGTTGACGGCAGAATTTGGCCCAGGTTAGTCTTAAGCAGCGTCCTGGCCGTTGGCCCAGATCTCTTGAGTTATACGTTGCTTGATCATACTGTCGGCTGTAGTTGGTTGTGGCCATGTCTGCATAGCGTTGTAGTTTGTCGTTGCCAGTCTGGGGCGCGACCCCCTGGAAGGAGGAGGAGGAGGAGGAGGAGGCGCAGCGAGGAGCAGCGAGGAGGAGCGTGGAGAAGCGAGGAGCAGCGAGGAGGAGCGTGGAGAAGCGAGGAGGAGGAGGAGGAGGAGGAGGAGGAGGAGGAGGAGGAGGAGGAGTCCTCTCCCCAGACATCCAGGACCAGGGCCCCCGAAGACCAGGGCTGTGGCACACATGTCCGCACAGTGGGGCGGGGCCCGCCTTCCCGCGACCTACAGTGGAGGCCCATACCAAAAAGCACCCTGCTTGTCCTCCTCCTCCTCCTCCTTCTCCTCCTGCTCCTCCTCCCCCATCTCCTCCTCCTCCTCCTCCCCCATCTCCTCCTCCTCCTCCTCCTCCTCCTCCTCCGCCTCCTTCTCCTCCTCCTCCTCCTCCTCCTCCTCCTCCTCCTCGTCCTCCTCTTCCTCCACACAGCCTCTATACAGTGGAGGCCCATACCAAAAAGCACCCTGCTTGCCTCCAGGGTGCCCTGGGTTTCTTGGGGTTCGATGGCTTGTGCCATGGAAAGCGCGACGCTCCCACCGAAAATAGATGGACGGCCTGGGGTCTCCAGGCTGGGCTTCTTGTGGAAGGCTTCTTGTGGTCGGGCCCCCCTTGTAGTCGACGGCGTAAAATTACAAGCCGGCGCCCCGTAGACGTGTGCAGTTCTGTGGGGCGCGGAATGCGGGAGCGATAAACCCGGGGGCAGCGAGGGCTGCTTGAAAGGTGTTTTTCAGGGCCCCTATAGGGGCTCATTCGGGCCCAGAAGGGGGCTTTTAGGGCCCGACAAGGGCCCCCCCCCGGTTTATACCCCCCCTCCGTTCGCGCCCAAGCAGTTGCACGCCTGCCGGCAATGCAAGCAATGCCGCGTGCTAGTTCGCATCACATCTGAAGAGTGAGGGATCGACTACAGAATGGGCTTACCCTAAAATGGAGTTGCTCGTCGAATGCATGAGGAAATTCGTGGAAGGCTCGTAGATCTACGAACACGCATGACTCGGCGAGAAGGTTGAATTCTGCGTAAACCAATTCTGAAGTCGATCTTTTATTCGAATCACATCTGAAGAGTGGGGGAGGCACATCTGTATGCTGGCGGGCGGCACAGGCATCACGCCGATGGTGCAGGACCGCCCGCCAGCGTCCGGTGCTCTTGCATGGGGAGGGCCACGCTGAAGTTGCATCGTAGTGTACGGCGGTGGGCAAAATGGGAGGGCACAGCGGTGAGGAAGGATGACACGAATGAGGAGTGAGGCAGGATGTGTGCAGAACCGTAGCGAACATGTGCCCACTTCATCCACTTCGACTCTTGTGCGGCACGGTCAGGAGTGTGTGTGGACATAAAGACCATAAGTGTGAATACACTGGCCCTGATGGTGTTTGCTAGAATCATACCCTATCGATAGACGAAGGCCGCGCAATTATTTTCGTCTCGGAAGCCGTGGTCTTCTCATGTGAGGCATGCTCTACACATCAGAGGTACAAGTTGCATATGTGAGCTCGCACGCCTCACGTTTCCTTTAAGTTGCTGGCTCGCCATTGGATTGAGCATGTTCCGCTTAGTCAGCTGAACGCGCACGCAGGTGTTGAGAAGAGCGATCCGAGATAAGGCGGACTATTGCAGGCTAGCTGTGGTGGTTATGCACGTTGTGTTTTTCAACCTGCATGTCACCGTTTTGTTGTGTAAGCAGCATGAGGAATGCTCACACTTTGCGTCTCGTGTTGGTTGCCGATTCCTGTATTTCATGCTTGTCCCGATGCAGCCCTTGCGTGACGCAGTCTCGGAGTTGGCGGTACAAGGGTGCTACATTCAGGATCTGTAGGCGTAGTTGCCACGCTTCCTAAGTGGTCTGTTTGGCGGACGTGATAGTGGTGAGGCGTGCTTCGTCGTTGAGGGCACGCTATTTTAGAACGTTGCGTTACGTGCAGCGTCATGTTCACTTCAGCGTGGGACCAATTGTTCTGTTGGCATCAGCCGCAGGGAGGTTTACTTTGATTTACGCCAACAAGACTGAAGAGGATATTCTTCTTCGAGACGTGCTGGACGGTCTTGTCAACGAGGGGAAGGCGCCTGCTCTAGGAACTCAAGTTCGCGTGGAAAACGAGTTGATGGGTGTGGCTATGACACGGACACGAGTTGCAGATGGTTCAAGAGCATTGGTCTGGATAGCCCGTACATAGATGATGATGATGATGATGATGATGATGATGATGATGATGATGATGATGATGATGATGATGATGATGATGATGATGATGATGATGATGATGTATTTATGTGTATGTATGTATATACGTATACATATACACACACATATATAGAGAGAGAGATGTGTGTAGCGGGGAACCGGGCCTCCTGTCCCGGGGCCAGAACAATTGGTCCCCTTTTAAGCCCCGGGGAGGGGGCGACCCTTTTCGGGGCGCTGCTGGGCCGGGCCCGCTGGTGGGGGACCGCATATCGGCCCCCAGAGCGATCAGACAGCCGTTCCAGCGGCCCAGGACGGCCCCGAGCCCCCCCGAAGACGGCCTCCAGGGATTTCAGACGGCCCAAGAAGCCTCCCAAACGGACCAAGAGTCTCCCAAGAAGGTTCCAAGAGGACCCCGACGAGTGCCCCAAGCGGCCAAAGTCATAGATACTCCTGCGGTTTGTGATGGAGTTGGGCGTCCTCAACGGTCTTAGACGGCTCAAGAGGCGCCGAAGACCGCCTCGAAAAGGCCCGAGAGGGGCCCAAGAAAGCAGCAAGACGGCGTCCGAGACCTCTCTCGGGAGCCCCACGATGACTCGAGAGGGCCCCAGGACGACCCAAGAGGCCCCTCAGACGGCCCCAAGAGGGGGAACACGAGCCCACAATTCCAGTCTGCCCCCCCAGGCCTCCAGAAGGCCCACAGAGGCCCCACGAGGCGCCTCGAGGTTCCCAAGAGGCCCCCAAGAGGCCCGAAAGAGGCCCCAAGAAGCCCCCAAACGGCCCCCAAGAGGCTTCAAGGCCGCCCTCGACGAGGTTCCCGAGAGTCTTCCCACGAGGTACCACCGAACACCTAAGAGGCCTCTGACACACAGCCCAGGCACCGTGGTGGGATGGTCCGACGGCCAATCGACATGCAAACATACATGCATTACTACGTAGATGCACACACATACCTACCGACCTGCCTGCCTGCCTACCTACCTACCTACCTACCTGCCTACCTACCTACCTACCTACATACATACATACATACATACATACAAACGTACCTACACATGCATACTCATATATATATATATACACATACACATACACATACATATACTTACACAGGCACATCTACACGTACACACGTATGTACATACATGTGCATCTACGTATACATATACGTACACAGAGACATATAATTACGCTCATACTTATGTACATACATCTAACCATACGCACATACATACACACATACATGCATGCGTACACATTTGCATACATGCATGCATGCATCTACACCTACATGCATACAGTCATGCATACCTACATACATGCACAGAGACACGCATGCATGCATACATACATACAATTATAAATACATGCATACATACATATTACACATTTGTACATACACACATACATGCATACATACATACATACATACATGCACACATACATCGATACATGCATGCATGCATACATATGAATAGACCTGCATATACATATACTCATACAGATACATGCATGCAACCCAGCAACATAACAGCATAGCAATCGAACTAGCAAACACGCAAGCAAACCAACCAACCAGCCAAGCAACAGCCAAACACACACACAAACGCATTAGCTAAACACAAAAACAACAAGCGTGCATACATACATACATCCATCCATCCATACATACAAACTGTCATGCATGCATGCGTACACACATATATATATATGTAAATATAACCAGGCACAGACATGTTATGTCTGTATACACCACAAGTGTGCGTTTGTATCTATCTATATATATATACACATACGTGCACGGAATGTCCTGTCACTGGGGCACTGGAGGGGGCGCCCGCTTGCACAGAGCGCCCCCCCCGCCCTCCCTGGGGGCTCCCAGGCCTGCCCTTGGAGTTCCTGGACGGCCCCACAGGCGTCCCACGATCGGCCCACGAGGGCCTCCAGACTCCAGACGGCCCAGGACGCCTCCAGGAGGCGCACGGATGTTTCCTCTGCCAGATAGCCTCCAGACTCCAGACGGCCCAGGATAGCCTCCAGACTCCGGACGGCCCAGGATGCCTCCAGATAGCCTCCAGAGGGCGCCTCCAGATAGCCTCCAGACTCCAGACGGCCCAGGATGCTTCCAGGAGGCATGGTAAAACAAATGTTCAGCCATCTTTGCCTCTCCTGTGCGACTTTGGCGGCCATCTTGGGCCATCTGGGCTCCACCTGGTGCCGTCGTCAGCCAACGAGGGCCCTCCGACCCCTCGCCTCCGGGCCCCTGCAGGCCCCGGGGGGGGGGAGGAGCGCCGCTTGACCCTCGCCAGGCCCATCTTGGAGACATCATGGAGCCGGGGAAACAGGAGGAAGAGGAGGAGGAAGATGAGGAGGAGGAGGAGAAGACGGAAGCGAATCGGCGAGAAGGCCAATATCGATTGTCCCCTAAAGTGCTCCAAGGATTCTGGCGTCATGGGCGCCTCCTGGGGATCCCCTGGGGGCCTGTGGGGCCCCTGCTCCGGAGCTTTCGAGCCTCTCTTGGGGCCATCTTGGGGGCCATGGGGAAAGCGATCGTGAATGAGACGGGGATCCAGGCAGGAGGGGCATCGACGATCGGGTCCGAGAATACCACCGAAGGCGCCTGCCGAAGAGGAGGAGGAGGAGGAGGAGGAGGCGGAGCAAGGAAGATAAGGAAAGAGGACGAGAGGGGGGGAGAGAGAGGAAAACGAGCATTAGGAATCAGAGCCAGAGTCAGAGAGGATCTCCGTGTTCAGTTGGTGTAGACGGCATGTGTCGGTGTGGGGCGAGTAGCTAGAACTTGAGCCCGCGCGAAGCGCGCGCGACGGTCCCGATGCACCCTGATTCGGCTCAAGCGACGTGCAATGCGGAGCCAGACTCGGGCCCCCCAGTTCTCCTCTGATATCTTTCAGTCGTATAATCCCCCAAAGGCCCCTTTCCACGACTTCTGGGGTACCATCTCATATGGCGGCAGGTCCCACAACCAACCTTAAGGGAACTCCTGTGTCAACCTGGCAATACCCAACAGCGCGCGAAGCGCACGCGTGGTTCTAGTAATCGCATGCCCATGAACAGCAAACGTTGTGTGTAGTCTGTTGTGCACGTCGCTGTTGGTAGCATGGCTCGATGCATGTTTGAGTTGGCATAGGGTGTTCAACAATGAGTTGCATAAGGTACTTCGCATAGATGCAGACGTATTTGCGGGTGCAGAGACGTTGTAATTGCATGCCGACTATGACTCGGTGACGTGGTGTGAGGGTCATGAGGGAACACAGCATCTACTTCCACCTGCTCCCTTCGCCTGGTGGGGCATTCCACTCTCTGCCCCTTTCCTGCTAGGGGCAGTTCAACGTCGTTTATACCTTGGACTTCCCACCCGCGAAGTGGAAGGAGGAGAAGGGCCACATCTCTGCGGGGCTGATCAGAAAACATTTCCCTCCTCCGAGGATGGGAGGCGCATGAGCAGCAGTCAGGTCGAAGCGGTGAGGAAGTGCATCCTTGTTGGCCAGGCTGATTGTGAATACAAGGCTTTGGAGGGACCTTCGGCCATGCGTATAGGGGCTTGCGCTTGAAGAGAGCGGGTTGCACGTCAATCAGTCTGGGGCTGAACGAGGCAGCTGTGGAAATGCATCAGGACTAGGTCGGACCGAACGTTGACGCATATGGATGCCAGCAAGGCAGTGTCAGACAGTAGTGGCACCGTCAGGGACATGTGCCCCAGGACCATGGTGAGCAAGGCGAAACACAGCCTACAGTCGGGGCCTGAAGAAGGATCCCTTTTCGTTGGGGAGGGGCTCCGCCCTCCGCGTTCCTTAAGCGTTTCGCAGCTTGCCTCAGGTTTTCCTTATGTTTTCGATCGGAAATCGAAGTTTCACTCATGGAACAAAGGGGCCTCGTTCCTTATTTTGGGTTCCTTAGGTCAACGCCCCGTCTGTACGTGTCATGGCGATGGCGTCTCATATTCTTTCCGGAGCTGCCAGCTGCTACCACTGCCTCCCGCTTCCTCGAACTCCCCAGAGCTTGTAGCTGCGCTCAGGCCCCACAGGTGGCCCCCACAACTTGGCCCTGCAGTGGTAACGCGATGCTCCACCAGCCTGAGGCTCCTGAGCACAGTCTCCCCAATGCTTCGCAGTGTGAGCAGCTGTGGCCTGTGGAAGCAGCCGGAGCGCGCGGGAGGAGAAAGTCTTTCGACCCGCTGATCCTGATGTGCGGGCCAGTTCCGATGGTGCGCGCTCTCGCCGCGTCTTCCTTCGCATTGCTGCCGCAGTGTGGCCTCCGATGCCGCTGCCACCGTGGTGACTCCGATTGTCCATGCCCGCTCCCTCCACCTGCTGCCTGCTGTGCTGCTGGGGGGCCGCGCGTGCAGGCTTGGCCCGTGCTCTCTCGCCTGCCGCCGCCTGGTGCTCGGCACCGCCTGCCGACGCCAGCCACTGCCACCTGGAGTGTCTCGAGCCTCCCTTCCTCGACTCCCGACGTAACGTCGGGGCCCTGAAGAAGGAACCCTTTTCGTTGGGGAGGGGCTCCGTGTTCCTTGATTGTTTCGCAGCTTGCCTTCGGTTTTCCTGAGGTTTTCGATGTGAAATCGAAGTTTAACTTATGGAAAGTAGGGGCCTCGTTCCTTATTTAGGGTTCCTTAGGTCAACGCCCCGACTGTAACGTCGGCCCCCAGAGGTCTGGACCCATTCCCCGGGACCGGTGTTTCATTCTGAGTCTTTTTGTTGACGATCCCGAAGCCCGTAGCAGGTCCCCAGAGGCCAAACATATGGAATATCAGCCAGCGTTGACTCCAAATAGATAGTAGGACAGGAGGAGGGCGAGAGGAGGACAGGAGGAGGACGAAATGAGGACGGGAGGAGAAGGGGAGGAGCAACATCAAGCAAGCGCAAGCAAGCAAGCGGGAGCACGCGGAAGCAAGCAAGCGCAAGCGAGCAAGAACAAGCAAGTAAGAGCCAGCGATCAAGTGCCAGTAAGCAAGGGCAAGCAAGAGCAAGCAAGCGAGAGCAGGCACGCAAGAGCAAGCAAGCATTAGGAAGCACGGGGTAGGGGTTGGGGGCAAGAGCAAGCAAGCATTAGAGAAGCAGAGCAAGCACGCAAGAGCAAGCAAGCAAGACCATAGGAATTAGGGGGGGGCATCGGAATTAGGGGGGGCAACGGACCGATCAGTAGGGTTTGAGTTGGGAACTCCTATAGGGCAGGCCCATTTGGAGGAAGGCCTCCCGTGATGATTTGTTGTCGTGACCCGAAGGGGCTCTGGGCTGTCACCGCCGCTGCCATGGGCTTCCCATGAGGATGAGGCTAGGGTTGCGGATGCGGGTGCGGGGATGGGTTGTCATGAGGACGTCGTCCTGGCTTTTCTCGGGAGCGTTTTTTGTCAGGGCAGACGCGCCGACGTTGAGGGCAAGGAGAGGTGCAATCAAGAGGGCGCCAGGGCGCGTTCCCTCGGCACGTCCCGCGGTGCGTCTTCGTGGCACGTCCCTTGCGGCCTCCGGTCCCGCCCGTGCTCCGCTCGCGCCGCGGCCCCTGCCGGGCCACGCGCACGGGGCGCGCAGCTGCTCGCCTCTTCGCGCGCCGCGCGCCCTGGCCTGAGCGCGGCTGCCCGTCTCCGCGGGGAGCGAAACCGCGGGGGCGCGCAGATCCTCGCGCGCCGCGCACCGCGGGGGGAGGCGCACCTCGCGGGGCGCGAGGCGCGAAGTGATGGTTGGCTTGCGCTGCGGTTTCTCCCCCATTCCTTCCTTCTGAGCAGCTCCTCCCCTCCGCGTCGCGGCAGCAGGCGGAGCGGCACAAGCGGCCCAGGCGACTCGCCGAGGGTCCCCCCGCAGTGTGCCTCTCCAACCTGCGGCCCCCCAGAACTTCCGGACGGCAGGCTCGCGGGAGAAGGGTAAATTCTTGCCTGACATTTTGCGATTTCGCGACGGACATCCTCACAATGATGAGATGTCGTCGAATTCGTCTCTCTGCCGGCCTTGCAAAAAGGTATGATCTCGCTCGGGACGTCCTCAAACAACGAGATGTTATCGACATTGTCTTGCTATATGGCGCTGGTGCCCACCATGACGAGTTCGCTCAGGACATCTTCACAAACACGAGATGTTGTCGACGTCGTCTTGGAATCGCTCCATGGAGCCCGCGAGGCTGGCCAGGCGGGTCAACACGGCCAGGCGGGTTCAAACGCCCAGGCGAGTTAAAACGGCCAGGCGGGTTAAAACGAACAGGCGGGTTCAGACGGCCAGGCGGGTTAGAAAGGCCTGGCGGGTCAAAACGACCAGCTGGGCTAAACCGGCCTGGCGGGTTAAAACAGCCAGGCGGGTTAACACGGCCGAGGATGTCAGCCAGGTCAGGTTGTTGAAACGGTTCTGACGGCCAGGGAAACGAAAACGACCGGGCGAGTCAAAGCGCCTGGGCGACTTAAAACGGCCAGGCGGATAACGATGGCCACGCGGGCCCAAATGATCAGGCGGGCTGAAACGGCCCAGGATGTCAGCGCGGCCAGGCGGGCTCAATTGGCCATGCCGATGCAAACAGTCACGCGGTCGTAATGGCCATGCGGTTTGAAGCGGACTTTCGGGTCAAATCGGCAAGGCGGGTTCAAAGGCCCAGGCGGGTTGAAACGGCCAGGTGGTTTGAGATGGCCAGGCGGATTAAAACGGCAGCACCGTGGACATCCTTAAAGAACGATCCATCTTCAATTCCGCATGTTTAGCTATATGTTTCGGGCATCGCCTTGCAATCTCTCGTGACAGGGCCGATTGACGGCTGAAGAGGGCCCGCAGACAGCCCGAGAGTCTCTGGCCCAAGAGTGCCCCAAGACCCCCCTAGAATGCCACAAAGGCGAGGGGAAGAGAGGACGCAAGAAGAGGAAGAACGGACAAGCAAGCGATCTCGCGCCATCACAGAGTAACTTCCGATTTCCGTCCCCATGCCAAGCAGGTCGAATGTCCTTCGGCCCATCCTGCACCGTACCTGGAATGTTGGTCAGAGTCCTCAGGTATGCTTCTTGGGGTCTCTTTGGGGCGCTCTCGGGGGCTTCTTGGGGGCAGTTTGGTGGCCTTTGTGGGGCCTCTTGGTGGCCTCTTGGGAGCCTCTTGTGGGCCTCTTGGGGCTTCCTGGGGGCCCCGTGGGGGCTTCTGGGGGCCCCGTCGAGGGCTCGAACTGTCCGTTCGGGTCACCCGTCTGGGCCCCCTCTTGAAGCCGTCTTCGGAGCCTCTTGGGCCGTCTTGGTTGCCTCTTAAGCCGTCTTGGTGCCATCTTGAGTCGTTTTCGGTACCTATTCGGAGCCTCTTGGGCCGTCCTGGTTGCCTCTTAAGCCGTCTTGGTGCTATCTTGGGTCGCTTTCGGTACCCATTGGGGGCGTCTTGGGGCGATCTTGGGCGCCTCTTGGGCCGTCTTGGAGCGTCGGGAAGCCGAAACGGAGAGAACTCCAAAATCATTCAATCTCTTTTTTCCGGAAAGTCCATGAAGGTTGCCTCTTGGGGTCCTCTTGGGAAGCTTATGGGAGGCCTCTTGAGAAGCCTCTTGGAGCCCTTTGGGGGCCTTTTGGAGGCTTCTTGGGCCGTCTGGAGGCCATCTTGGGCGCCTTGGACCTCTCGTTCGACGACTCGGGGCCCTCTCGGACCGTCTTTGGGGCCTCCTGGGGGGGGGCCCTCTTGGCCTGGCCCGTCCGGCCGAAGAAGGTCCTGCGACAGGCCGCCCAGGACCGCGAGGGATTTGGCCTTCTGGGATCCGGGTCCCACTGGGCGTCGCGTAGTGGGGGGGCGCTGAACTTATTTTTTTCCCCTCAAACAAGCAATCCTCGCGGCCATGCTTGGTTAATAAATCCTCTGGTGCGCTGCGGGCTGTGCTAAGGATCGCAACGACAGCAGCCGAGCATGCCTAACAAATTATATAATGCGTGATTCAAAGAAGAAGAGGTGCACGGGCCGATGCACGGGAGGGCAGCGAGGGCTGCAGAAAAGGAGCCCAATAGGGCCCACCAGGGGGCCTCCAGGGCGCGAGAAGTGCCCCATTTCCTCCCGCTTCATGCTATCGCCCCCCCGTCAGGCCACGCCCCAGCCCAACGGGGCCACCCGATCGCGGAACGCGAGACGGCAGCAGTGGCTTGCGCGCCTGGGTTCCGCCACCCCGCGTCCCCCGTGGAGTCGTGCGCCAAAGGTCACTCTGGCCCAGGGTCACCCTTACGTGTCGCCGCGTGGGGAACACACACACACACACATGATCGGCGGCGGCTACCTTCTGCGCACATCTTGCTGTGCCCCCTTCGCCGCAGGTGGAGCTGGCCTGCAGAAAGAACCTGTTGGCGCTGGGCTATCCGAGCCAATCTCTGGTAGCGTTCTGAGGCGGCACAGGAGGCTGTTCGCGGCGCTCACGGCACCGGCCCGCTCTTGTGCTGCCCCCCTTTCACCTCGCAGCTTCCGCGTGCTGTCCGCCCCCACGACGCCGCCGCCTCACGCTGCTGCCCGCCAACCGCCCGGTCAAACCCCCCCCCCCGTCGGTCTTGCTCGGCCCCTTCCCCCCCGTGCCGCCGTGTTTGCGTTCTCGCCCCCCCTTCCCCCTGGTAAATGCACCCCCCTCGCCCCGCTCCTCGCTGTTCATTTCCACCCCGCGCGGCCCTCCTCCTCCCGAGAGCTCACGCTCAGCTTCGGGAAGTCCCCGAGACCGCCCAGCCTCGCCAGAGAGTTCCAGAGTCCGCGCGCGAGGTCGTCGAAGGCGGCCCGCAACCCTCGGCCACCCGGCTGCTTCCTATTCGGCAGGCTCCGCCGCCGTGCCAGCGCAGGAGGGTGTGGTGCCGCCTCCTACTCGTCCTTCTCCTCCACAGCATCCCTCGCCCCCTCATCGTCCCTCTTCCCCCTCGACTTCCTCCTCCTCCTCCTCCTCTTCCTCCTCCTCCCTCCTATTCTCTTCTACGGGCACCGAAATTTCAGAAGCAACTCGTCATCCCTCAGCCTTCCTCGCCAGTTTGGTAAAAGATGCACTGTCTTGGGGCGCAGCTCCTGGCAGTCGCGCGGATACGGCTGGCCCGCGATCTGCTTGTGGCACCCACCCCCTCATCCTACGGGCATGGGAAAGCGGCCGCCTCCTCCACACTCGACGGACGCCGCTTGTTCCCCTGGGGTCGAGTTCTTCCTGGGGTGTGTTTTTACAGCAAGGCGCTGTGACAACGACTCGGCCCTGTGGCGTGCAGCGGCCCGGCGGCAGCACATGCGACAGGGAACGCCGACAGCTCCGAGAGCGCGGCGGCGGATGCAGCGTCGAGCTGCATCGCGGCAGGACGCGCCCCAGACAGTACTGCGTGCCAACGCTCGTGGGCATGCTGCCGAAGGCCGCCACGGCCGTGGCCACGGCCCACCAGACCACCCGGACCCAACCCGAAGGCCGCGATTGGCCCTCCATGCCCAGTTGGGGGCGGCTCGGGGAGCATGGAAAACACATCGCTGCACCCACCGGCAGCCCTCGAAAGTGGCGACAGCTTCGCAGATCGCAGCGAAGAGCGGGCAGGAGGGAGGAAGGGCGCGCGAGCAGTGCTCCATTGAAAACGAATGCCCAAGCAAGGAGGTCTGACACATTTTTTAAAACAAAAAAAAAGATGCGAGGCTGCCGCGGCGGAGGGCCCGTGGCGTGCCCCCTCTCCGCGGAGGCGCCGCGCGGTGCTCATGGCGAGGCGTCGGCGCGCCAGGCGGCGGCTCCGCGCGCGGCCGCCTCCTCGGCTGGGCCCGGGCCCCCCGTCGGGTCGGGAAGGGAGGGCGGCGGGAGGGCTTCGGCCAAGTTCGGCGTCTATGAAGGGGCCCATCACGGGGCCTCGGGGCCGTCAGAAAGAAAAATCAGAGGCAGCAGCGTGGAATGGGGAGTCCCCGCTGCAATGCCCCGGCGGAAAGCCGCGGGTCACGCCTGGAGGCCGCGAGGAGGATGTCCACCTCCACGCCCATATCCTCCTTGACGTCCACCACATCATCCTCCTCCGTCCTCCGCAACAAGCACCTGCTCGTCCACCTTCTCAAGCAGCACCACCCTGGCATCCCCCTCCCCATGAAAAAAACAAGTCCCGGGGAAGGGGTCCAGACCTCTGGGGGTCGACGTTGCGAAGTAGATCACGACGTCGGGGGTCTGCTCATGGTTCACTCACTGCCACATGCCTTTGTTCAACATCGTTGCGACGGCTGCGCAGGTGGAGTCGATCGTTCAAACGCTGCCTGCCGCTAGCTACCCTGGGTGAGACCTCCTGACCCCTGGCAGCATGGATCTCGACGAAACGAGCCACCGCGGCACGAACCGCTGCCACAGCAAACTCGACAGGGAGCGATGGCCGGGCGAGGACGGGCCCCGGCGGGGTGAAACGGAGGCCGAACATGACCCCCGTGCCACGAACCTTGGCGTTAAGTCGGGCCTGTCCCCCTACAGGGAGATTTTCGACAAAAAACGAAAAAATACCCTAAGAATATTCAAAAAATAGTCCAAACATATTCTTGTGATTATGTTTTGAGTATTTGTTTGCCTTGTTGGTGCATGTTTGGGGTATTTTTAATTTTTCGTCGAAAGTCCCCCTGTGTGGGGGACACGCCCGACATAACCCTGGCGCGAGGAGCCGAGGGTGACGCGAGCGGATGCCCTGGGGCCCAGCCGCTCGCGAGGTCTTGCCGGCCCCGTGCCGTCGCGGGCGCCGCCCCCGCCCCATCTGCGCGAGGGGGCGCCGACGAGGGGGGCGAGGGCTGCGGTCCGGATCCTCTGCTCGGAGCGTCGCGCCGCCGAGATCCTGGCTGGCGCGGCGCGCCAACCGCGTCCCAGTGCCCAGGCGTCAACGCGCTGAGCTGTCCAGCCGCCCGTCCCGTGAAGCGGGAGCGACACCCTCCCGTGTCGCAGGGCCGCCGCCGCGACACGCTGTGCAAAAGTTCTTGACCGTAGGGGGTTGTGCGTGTGTCTGTGTCAGCGTCTGTGTGTGTGTGTTGTGTGTGTGTGTCTGTGTGTGTGTGTTGTGTGTTGTGTGTTGTGTGTTGTGTGTTGTGTGTTGTGTGTTGTGTGTTGTGTGTTGTGTGTTGTGTGTTGTGTGTTGTGTGTTGTGTGTGTGTGTATTTGTGTCTGTGTGTATTTGTGTCTGTGTCTGTGTCTGTGTCTGTGTCTGTGTCTGTGTCTGTGTCTGTGTCTGTGTCTGTGTCTGTGTCTGTGTCTGTGTCTGTCTCTGTCTCTGTCTCTGTCTGTGTCTGTGTCTGTGTCTGTGTCTGTGTCTGTGTCTGTGTCTGTGTCTGTGTCTGTCTCTGTCTCTGTCTGTGTCTGTGTCTGTGTCTGTGTCTGTGTCTGTGTCTGTGTCTGTGTCTGTGTCTGTGTCTGTGTCTGTGTCTGTGTCTGTGTCTGTGTCTGTGTCGGTGTCTGTGTCTGTGTCTGTGTCTGTGTCTGTGTGTGTGTGTCTGTGTGTCTGTGTGTCTGTGTGTCTGTGTCTGTGTGTGGGGGAGGATCATGACTGGGGCCATGAAGCCTCCCAGATGACCTTCTCCTCTCCCCATACGCCTCCCGCGCGCCCTCCCCGTCTGCCCACGTGCCTCGGGCCACGATGCTCTACGGCCCCCCGCGTCCTCGGCCCCCTCGTCGGCGCACCCGACTTCTGGGATCCGCCCCCATCGAGAACCAGGAGGGACACCAGCGCACAGACACAATGAATCCCCAGTTCCCAGGAAGACAGGGGAGAAGATGGGGAGTGTGGGGGGGGGGAGACGAGAACTCAGGAAACATCATACAAACTGTGGGGAAGCCTGGGAGTCGTGTGTATTTCTTCTTTGTGTGCCCCTGGGCGCCCTCAGAGAAGCCTGCCTGGCCGCTGCGGTCCGGAGCGCCGCCCCTGCCCCCGGCCGCCCGCGTGGTTGGATACAGGGCGCGCTGCGGCGGGAAGAAAGAGCGCCGCGCCCGGTGACGAGCCAGGTGAAGGAGGGAGACTGGGGACAGGAAGGCCCAGACCCCCGGTCTGGGCTTCCTCCTCCTCCCCTCCTCCTCCTCCTCCTCCTCCTCCTCCCCCTCCTCCTCCTCCTCCTCCTCCTCTTCCTCCTCCCCCTCCCCTGCTCCCCCTCCTCCCCTCCTCCCTCCTCCACGTCGGCCCCCAGGGGTCTGGACCCACTCCCAGGGGCCGGTTTCGCATCCCCTTGAGTCGTGTTTTGAAGCTCCCCGGGGCCCGGTCAGGGCCTCCGCTCCAGAGACCCAGAGGTCTGGACTCATGAATCCCCTGCACCGGTTTCTCATCCTGAGTCGTGTTTTGACGCTCCCGGGGCCTGGTGAGGGCCTCCAGAAACCGACAACACCGAGAAACACGCTGCTGCGAGGCGTTGCGAAAGGAGCCTTGCCTTCGAGGGTCGAAGAGCCAAACCGTTCTTCGTGCCCGGACCCCCGACGTCGTGACCCCCGACGTCGTGATTTTTGCTCTCGACGTCGACGACCCCCAGAGGTCTTTACCCCTTGCCCAGGACCGATTCTTCATGCTGAGCCGTGTTTCGACGCTCCCGGCGCCCGGCAAGGGCCCCCGGAGGCCGAAGATATCGAAACCGAGACCGCGTCGTGGTTTCTTCCACCACGCCGAGGGGGTCCAGGAGCGGCCAGGAGAGTCTCCGCGGCGCGAGGAGGTCTGGGAAGGTACATAGCCGATGGCCCTCGCGGTGGCGCCGACGGCCTCCGCCGGGCACGTGCCTCGGGGCAGCGAGCGTCGGGCGACGAAAGGCACACGCTCAGTGCACCTTACAGCTGAGACCGGTGAGGCAGCTCGGCGCTGCCAAGTCAAGGGTACCCTGAAGTGCCTCGTCTTTCGCGGCCCGCGCCCTCTGCACTCCAAAGAGTGGCCACGGCGTGGCCCTCGGAGGAGTCTTGTGCTGAGTCGGGCAGGTCCCCCCCACAGGAGGAAGACTCAAGAATGGTCAATCATAGTCTCGGGACGATTTTTGTTTTACTATCTGTTTCACGTGTTTGAGCATTGTTGGACTATGCTTCATTTTTCTTCCAACACCCCCCTGTAGGAGGACATGCCCGACCTAAGGAATGCGCCCAGGGGGCTGCAGACCCTGGAGGATTCCGAAGTCCTTATCTGATGAGTGCAGCGATGATATCCATGGCCAATCCACGACGGGCTTTCCACTGGCTTCCAGACCCTGGATTCCCTATCTGGACTCATGGGCCGATGGCCTGGTGCAGGCGGCGGCGCGGGCTCATGGCATCGGCAGTGCTGCGGCGGTGGTTGCCGCGGAGGCCGCGGAGCGGGAGGGGCTGCTCGCTGCGACTCGCCTTGCGTAGATTGGCGGCCCATGCCAGCGACTGGCCGACGCAGTCCCTCCGGTTCGTGGCGGCCGACCCGCGGCCAGGCGGTGCGGG